GGCCAACATTTCTAAAGAATGCTTTCAGAACCTTGTTGAATCAATGCCACGTAGAATTAGGCAGTTCTGAAGGTGAAACACAGTATTAATATGGTGTTCCTAATAATCCTTTAGGTGAGTGTATGTACACAATAAAGGATTAAACTTTATGAATATTACATTTTAGTCTTTATTTCTAGATATGTTGTATATACATCAATATTAATATAAGCACTAGTTTTCCATACAGTATATGGAAATGTATTATGTAATATATCGCATTATATTTTGCAGTATATTTCCATATATTTTTGTTACGTAGGGGAACCTTCTCTTTGCATTGTTCATTGTTGTGATTTATGTGTGTGTGGCAAACCTAAGGCAGTCAAACAGGTTTTGTCTGCACACCACATCGGTTTAGTTTTCTCGTGAAATGAAATTTAAGGTAGTCCTCAAATTTGATTGGACAGTGGTAGAACATGTAAGTGATACCTATCTCACAAAGCTTGACCTGATTTGGTAGATATTTAGATGAGATACAAGAGGACTTGTAAGTCTTTCTGTTAGAACTTTCATGAATCTTTTCCATCCTAATTTGCTGATTTAAAGAGTTTCTGCCAAGCGATTGGTTATGTATCTTTTATGGACCTTGCTGTTTCTACCTGTGTCAGCACAGCATTGGACTCTGTTTGGTTAGTATCTGAACATACCACTGCTTTAAATTTGAATTACAATATGAACTTCATACCTTAATCATTTGTATTTTCTGTATAAATACTACACAAAACAGCATGTGTTTTGATAAGAATTTATCTAATAAATATTGGATGCAAAGCTGCTAATCTGATTTTACACAGCCTATATTGTTCTTTATATATTTGTTTTTCAAATTGCTCAGTTTTGTTTGATGTGGGCTTGAGCACATTTTCATGAACCATTTATATAAATATATGTATACTTAAATAGCAAGCAACCATTAAAATAATGTTAATGCATCAAAGGAAATTGCATTGAATTACCATGACTTATACATCTGCAATTAATGTTGATTTTATTTTCTAAAAAAAAAAAAAAAACATGTCTAAAAAAATCAAAGGTAATGACATTGCCCTTATGGAAACAGGTATATTAAATGTTTTTAATGTATTGAAAAATAGACAGAATATATTAAAATATTGAATAATACATAAGCAATGGTTGTTTTTCATGTATTAAAAATAATATGTGACAATATATTTACAATGTTTTAATGAGTTACATTCACTCAATTGAATTATGTTCATGCTACTCAAAGTATTTGACTCATCGGTCCCCAAAGTGGGGTATCCTGCGGTGAACATCTTACCCGACCACATCCAGTCAGAAGCCACATCCATGTCCAATAGGTAGGGTAGGTTTTAGGTGAGTTTCAGTATGTAGTTTTTTCTTAGGTTTAATGTTACAATGATCAGTGTTTGGTGTGGGCACTTAGTAATGTGATTGACATGACCCATATGATCTTAAGAATCAGCTACAGGGCTGATTTTTGGCTGAACTGGGGTGCGTTTCCCGAAAGCATTGTTAGCCAACTACGTATGGTCGCAAGTTGGTCGCAATTTCCATTGAACTCTATTGGCAACGATGGAACTTGCGACCATAGTTGGCTAACGATGCTTTCGGGAAACGCACCCCAGGTTTGGAAAAAAACAGGCCAATGAGATTGTTCTGTATTTGGACATGGGCGTGGCTTCTGATGTCACACAAGGATGTGGGCCAGACTGAATGTTCACCACAGGCTGCAGCGAGATGCTTTTAACACCACCATGGTGGTGGTGTTCATATGGGAGCCAGTGCCACAAAAAACACTGAATCAGTTATTTAGGTACTTAATAGATTAAATGATTGACGATTGTTCGGATATTGAAGACACGTGATGATAATGACAACATAATGAATGTTGACTGTTTGTCTGAGTGAGTGGACGGGGCGTGGCTTAGCCATAGGTCAATTATGGTTGGAAGAACAGTTCCCAAACACATAAAATGGTAGAAACATAATAATCATAATAATGATGATAATCAAAATAATAATGATATCAGTATTTTTGGCCGAGCAGTGTAATATACATTTATTACTTGTGGCAGATGAGCAGTCAAAGCCTAAGCGAGAGGGCAGAGTGAGGCTTGTCGGAGATCTGCCTTCATCTGGTCGTGTGGAGATCTATCATGATGGACAGTGGGGAACAGTCTGTGATGACGGATGGGACCTGGCTGAAGCACAAGTGGTGTGTCGTCAGATGGGTTTTCCTGGAGCAATCTCAGTTACGCCTGGAGGACAATATGGTGAAGGTATGGTGCAACTTGAGGAACATAATTTGATTGTTACATATTGTGATAACAACATTAGTATTAAATTTGTTCTTTCATATTTTTAAGGCTCTGGTCCAATCTGGCTGGATGACATGAACTGTAGTGGCTCGGAGAGCTTACTGTCTGAATGCTGCTTTAAAGGCTGGGGTGTTACTGACTGCACACATAAAGAGGATGCTGGAGTGACCTGTGATACTGGTAAGGCATCTGCTAGATTTGACCATAATTACAACTCTTCAGTCAGTAATGTTTAACGTTGTGTCAGACGTAAACTGACAAATTGGGATCTCGCCTGATGCCTTCTCACGCATCCCCTGCCTTGTGAAGCCAGGGAAATTTTGCACTGAACACCAGATCCCCACTCCGGGACACTGTGCCTTCCAGGTCAGGCCCCTGTGCTCCACTATGCTGCCCCACTGCGGGTACGCATTCGGACTATCAGAATCGGCTGTGCGATTCAGTTCGGTGGGTGTCCTCTCATGTTCAGCGACCTCAGGCGGACAAAAATGCTTCTGTCCTGCGTGCAGAGATCACAGTGCATACTAGTGAAGGACGCGATTGAGCTGGTCCGTCGAACCGATATCTAAAGACGATTTTACAGCCCAAGGGTTTTACAGCCCATACTTCATTGTACCCAAGAAAGGCGGTGGGTTACTGCCAAACTTGGAGCATTGTGTGTCTTGAATCAGGCCCTTCACAAGGTCCCGTTCAAGATGTCAATGCAGAGATGCATCTTCGAATGCATTTGTCCCCAAGATTGGTTTGCAGCGGTGAACTTGAAGAAAATGTACATTCATTTCTCAATTCTCCCTTGACTCAAACAGTTCCTGTGCTTTGCGTTCAAAGGACGGGCATGTCAGTTCAAGGTCCTCTCCTTAGGGCTGTCACTGTTGCCTCGCATCTTCACGAAGGTTGCAGAGGCAACAGTGTGGCCGTTGTGTACATCAAACATGAGGGTGGTCTGCATGTCACAACTTGCCCGCCATCTCCTCTTCAAGAGACAGAAGCATCTGAGGTCACTTTGCACCATTCACATTCCAGGCGAGCTCAATCGTGCAGCAGATGAGCTCTCACAACAGCCCATGCTCCCAAAAGATTGGAGACTCCAGCCCAAGGCAGTCCAGCTGAACTGTAGACACTTCAGAGCCACACAGGTAGACCCGTTTGCCTCTCTGGACACATCCCACAGCCGGTTGTTTTACTCCCTGACTGAGGGAACCCTCGGCACAGATGTCCTGGCACACAGCTGGCCTCGGGGCCTATGCAAGTATGCGATTCCCCCAGTGAGCCTTCTCAGAAAAAGACACTGTGCAAGGTCAGGGAGCAGCAGGTCTTGTTAGTTGTGCCGTACTGGCCCAACCAGACCTGGTTCCCAGAACTGGTGCTCCTCGTGACAGCCCCTCCCTGGTGAATTCCTCTGAGGAAGGACCTGCTTTCTCAGAGATGGAGCACCTCATGGGACCCTCGTCCAGACCTCTGGAACCTCTACACATATCTGGAGTCATACCAGGAGTCTTAGGCATGATCACTTTAGCTAGAGCCCCCTCTACAAGGCATGCTTACGCTTTGAAGTGCCTGTTCATTGATTGGTGTTCTTCTTACCGAGAAGACCCAGTAAATTCCCGATCAGAGTCATCCTTTCTTTTCAGTCTTAATCTTAATTAAACTGTGTTCGTTCATTGGCCAGAGGAGAACTGTCGCCCTGACTGAGCCTGGGTTCTCCCCATGTTTTCTCTCTGTTCTAGATGAAGTTTTGGGTTCCTTGCCACTGTCGCCTCTGCCAGGCTTTAACAATATTGGTTATCAGATGACTTAACTCATTACTAACATGCATTTTCAGTCAATGAAACGTGCCTAGATTTTTGGGCTGTCTCCAAGCAGAGGCTGGCCCACTGGATAGTGGATGCCATAGTCTTGGCGCCTCAGGCTCAAGACCAGCCATGCCCCCTTGGGGTGAGGACACACTTCACTCAGAGCATTTCCTCCTCCTGGGCATTGGTGCATGGCGCCTCACTGACAGACATTTGTATGTGTTGTGGTTTCCCTACACTGTCAGAAAAAAAAGTACAAAACTGTACCTTTTAGGGTACAAGTGGCTGTCACTGGGGTGGTACCCTGGAGGGTACCCTTTTGTACCTTTAATATGAGGTACAAAATTGTACCTTATAACTTTGTACCATTTAAGGGACAATTTTGTACCCCATTGTGCATACTGCAATAAAAGCACAAAATTGTACCTTAAAAATTGTACCTTAAAATAATTCCCAGGGTACAACCCAATGACAAATAAGTTTTGAACCTAAGGGGAGCAAAAAATATACATTACATAAACTGGCTTACAGATATGCATATTTAACAGATTTTATTAAGAAACTTTCTTTTACAACGAATTATTACATGTGATGTCACAGCATCAGGTGTGAGTCGAGAGAATTAATTGACAATTGCACAGAAAAGCTCATTAGACATTACTCAGGAAATATGAGTTATGAAAAAGTTTTTAACCGTAACACCTTAAGAATCCTTACAAATGAGGAATTGTTATAATTAAAAGTACTGTTCTCTCTAAATTGCTGAAACAGCTCCATGTTTGGGGGGCAGAAAATGCAACACTATTATCAGATTCTTCCTCGGCGTCTTCAAACAAAGGAAGAGGAACATCAGTAGTAGTCCGTTGTAACATTCTGTGTTTATCCTTTTGGTAAACATGACAGGAATTGTACTTTGAAAAGTCTCTGACAGTCATTAGGACCACAAGTTATTGTCAAATCGAAGACAAAACACACAAAATGCAGAAAGAGCCCCTTCATCCACACCACTAGCCCGGCAGATCTCTATCCCATCAACTCCGATGACTGCAACTCCGATGACTTCACTTTAAAAGACAAAAGCACAAATTAGATTTTATCTCAATCAAATTTTATAATCATACAAGTTAACTGATGACAAATAATCTACATGCATAAGGAGTAAGATGATTATTATTCACCCAATTTCTATGTTGGCAGTAAATATATTTCAAGAATTATAAAATGCATTAATGATAGACATTCAAGTCATAGACAGAAATATGCGCACCTCCCCAAGCACAATGAAGAGTTCAAGCTTCTCTCTGAACAAGGCTGTCAACATGAGAAGTGCTGAATCTGATTTGTAATCCATTCCTGAAACAAAGATATGACATGATATTGACATATTACTACCTCAGTCTCTAGTTAAGTAGCAGTCAATGGAGGGACAGAAAGCTCTCAGACTTTATTAAAAAAATATCTCCAGTTGTGTTACAAAGATGAACAAAAGTCGTACAGATTTGGAACGACATGAGGATGAATAATCAACAACAGAAATTTTCATATTAGGGTGAATTATCCCTTTGGTATCAATGTTATTTTTGTTTGTGGATAATGTGAATAAAAAAAACGACCTATTTGCATAATACTTAAAATAAGTAATTTATTTTGGATGATGACGTGGAATTTTAAAATCTAAGTAATTTTAATAATTTATTATATCATAAATTGTGTTTGTAACAATGCAATAAAATATTCTTACCGCTTCTGTGTTGTCCATTTTACTTAGTAATCAATTGATTTTCCGTTTGATGGCCATGTGTAACGTTAACGGAATATCAGTCGGAGCGTTAACGTTACCAATGCTTTTAAGCCACGATATGTCGAAATCCCAACGGTCTCAAAATGCATAAACTGAGATAACCACTAACATTACTTACAATGGCTAGTCCTGCAAATAATGTTTGCCACAGTTTTTTTAATAGGTATGAGACGAGATCAGCCTACAACTACGTTACAAGGTTTGAAAGTTTAGTCGATGGATAAAGGCCGTTAAGTAGAAGCCTAACTTGGATTAAAGATGAAAAAAAGAAAGAAAAACATCTCAACATGTGACACAACTAACATAACTTACTCACCCTCAATTTTTTTTTTCCTCTTCAGGTAATTATATCCCAAACTGCACTCTCGCCAACTCCATTGCTACTTCTGAGGGCTCTTCCCAATCGGTCAGAAACATACCACAGCCAGTATTCGCGAGCTTTAAGCAAAGGGACATAATATTAGACAAAATGAACAGAACTTGCCGTCATACGCGAACAAAGAAGAATAAAAACATCATCTCGCATTTACCTGAAAACGGTGTCCTCCAAAAATGTTCGGACGCTGGAAAATCGTGTCTGAAGTTGTCAGAAGAACAGGTTACTACCGGTCAGAAACATACCACAGCCAGTATTCGCGAGCTTTAAGCAGAGGGACATAATATTAGACAAAATCAACAGAACTTGCCGTCATACGCGAACAAAGAGGAATAAAAACATCATCTCGCATTTACCTGAAAACGGTGTCCTCCAAAAATGTTCGGACGTTGGAAAATCGTGTCTGAAGTTGTCAAAAGAACAGGTTACTACCGGTCCGCACCGAATGAGTCAAGCGGGAAATTTTCTTAAAGCGACAACAACCGTAACGTCTGCTTAAGCAAAAAAATAAGTTTTGAATATGTTTTGTTGTCGTTCATCGTGGTCTTTATTTGAAATTTAATTAAAACATTTAATTTCCGTTTTTATGCAACAGTACAAAATAATAATAATAATTTGATAAAGTTTTTTAACAAAAAATATAGGCAACTGGCTACATTACAACAAACAAGCATAATTATTTCATGTTTAATATGGTGTTTTAATGTTAATTAATAAAAAATAAAAAATAAACAGACAAGTTACTCTATTTGGACCTCAACTGTAAAAAAAGGAAAAGGTACAAAAATGGACCTTCCACACTCAAACCTAAAAAGTTGTACCTTTATAAGTCGTTTTGGGAACATAATTGTACCCTAAGGACCTATTGTGGACCTTTAAAGGTACAGTTATATATTTTGTACCCATAGGAACATAATTGTACCTTCACTGTACCTTTTTTTCTAAGTGTGTACGGGGGATCCAACATATGTACAAGGAATTTGAAACTGGAATTTTTGGCGTTTTGTAAAGGATCCCAATTCGTTAGTTCACATCTGATATAATATCGAACATGATTGACTGACATCAGTTGTGGCGTCACATCCCGTCGTCACAACTGCTGAACAAACGCGAGACACACTGTCTCGGCTCCTCTGTGGAAAATTTAACTTAGCAAATGCACCGCACTTCCATTCATGCCACTTTGCGGGGCGTGGTTTGCGATGCAAAATTAGCTCGCCAATGTCCATTGGCTTGTTTTGTTTACACTTTAAGAGAATTAGGCTTTTTAGGTAAGATCCCAAACTGTCTGTTCACATCTGACGTAACGTCTCTTTCTCTTCTTCAGGGAATGGGGTTTACATTAGTAACCTAGATGCCTTCCACAGGAATTTTGATAATTTTTTACATGCTTTTTTTATCAGTTTGAGGAACTTTAGGAACGTTTTAATATGTTTTATACATTTTCTTTGCAGGCACAAACATGACCGGAAATCGTCAGTTCTCTGTGGATAATAGTCTGGGTTTGTCTGATGATCTTGGTCTACTGTTTGACAGTGGAGATGGTTGTGATTTCAGCATTTATGTACGAGACCTTGATGAAGAGGCAGAGCTGACTTTTTGTGCCCACAGTATGATCCTCATGATTTATCAAAAACTAAACCTAACAAATGAGTCGAGAAACCTCACAGTGTATGTCATCCAGGAGTGTCATCCTTATCTCCCTACTTTTCTCAGGTGAGTTTCAGAAGAACACAGGTTTTTCAGTAATTATTACGTAAAAAGCAACTATCCGTAATCTCTTCTCCAGATTCTCAAACGTTTTGTAAAAATACAATTTGAGAGTTAAACATGTTTATTAGTGAATTACAATCATTCGTAAATATGGCGCGCATGCACAATCGTCCATATTTTAGCATTTTTAGATTTCAGAATATGATTCCATCCAATTGGAGGAGATCTAACATGTTTGATATTTTGAGCCGATTTGAAGGAGAACTCCTTCTTAAATTATCAATCAATTTTTTTTAAAGTGAACTACTCCTTTAATCTTGATCATTATACTTTTGTGAGGACTGTCTATAGAAAAAAATAAAAATAAACGGATTGGTGCTTGCGATGCGGAGCTGTGACAGAATATGCCCCTAGCTCCATTCAGCTAAAACGGCAGCTATGGGGGCATATTTATAGAGAGTGTTATGTTTTTGTGCCTCTTAACAGACAAAACGCAATTAAAATGTCTGTCCAACGTGGACAAGGGACAAGATGCATTTAGCAACTTAGCCATGGTTTAAATTCACCTATATAGTGTTTTAGATGGCAAGCTGTAGTCTCACGCTGAAATCCTGTGCGGAACTGATGATCGGAGTTTGTTTACAAGTGAAGAAATGTTTTTTGTTTGTGCCTTTCCGAATTGTGGCAACAGAATGCAAAAATATAAGGAATTAAATTTTCATTGTCTTCCTTCTCATGACCTATCATATCTATCATTTAGTGTCGTCATTCGGGCAGTATTTTCCCAGATAGGTCATAGCCTGTGATCATCACACATCACCCCCTCCCCTGTACTGCACACTCCCACACAATTTATTCTCTCTAGCAAGTGCATTGTATTCGCACAGTACAAATACAAATATAATTCAAGTCATAGAAGCTAGTAAAATAATGAAAGTTTTACAAATAAGATGACAAAAACATTACTGTACATCTCTCCTCAAGCCGTGTGTGCCCAAATGGAAGTATAAAGTTTACATTACCTCTACAGTGGTTGCACCCATCTTCAAACACGGAATGGCTTTTTTCTTCAACTGGCCCCGCTTTGTTGTGTCTGTGTAGTCATCCTTGTCAAAGTGTTTGCTTCAAATGCGGTAATCTTTAGCGCGCAGTACTTCTGTGGAAGTTTGCACATCAGTGGATCTCTTTGGGTCTCAGTATGTTTGCGCTTTTCCTCTGATTCCAACAGTTCTGGAGGGGGTCTGCCTGGACTGAATAAATCTGTCCTGGCCAAAACAGAGGGTGGTTCTCAGACCCAGCGTCCCTCTTCGACGACTCTCCCTTGGAGATTACGGTCAGGAGGTACCTTCTGTCTCAGGCAGGAGGCACAATTCTTCACGCCCATCCAGACTTATGAAACTTGTAATTGGCCCCTGAGGGAGACCAACTCATAGACTCAGGTCTCTCAACTGAGGTTGTTGAGACCATACGAGAAAACTGTATGCATTGAAGTGGAGGGTTTTCACTTCACGGTGCAGAACTAAAGGGAATGTCTTTGGTCACGACTGTAACCCTTGTTTCCTGAGAAGTGAATGAGATGCTGCGTTTTGCTGCCATATTCCCTGGGTCCCTGTGATCTTCTTCCTTCACCCTATTAGAAGTTTTATAGCTACTTGGTCCTGACGTCACACCAGCTGTGACGCTCCGTCATGCCATTCACGCGCGTGTTTCAGACACAATCACGCAGAGACGTGCCCAAAGTGCCCTTGTAATCCGTGTAAAACTTCCCATTCCCTTTTAGGGGAACAATGATTATATAATCATAACTTGATACTTTTTTTTTCGTGTTGGGTATTTAAACCTTTAGATAGATTTTTAAGCTTTACACAGCTATATTATAGCCACCAGCTACAACCACTTCCCAGTTCCACATGCTGTTGCTGGTGTTGTAGGGAAACTCCCCATTATTTTTTGACTCACCTGCTTCTTTGTTCGGTGAGGATCCTGAAAACGAATTGGGTCAAATCAAGTCATTTCACCTTTGATTTAGCACTTTATATAATACAGATTGTTTGAAAGAGTCCTGGCTGTAAATTTTAGTTTGTCTAATGAAAGCACCATATTTGATCACGGGTGGAGATATGTTCCTCTATGTTGGAAGTAAAAGTTGAAAATAAGATATTGTACATTTTGCAGTACCCTTTTCAACAAAATAATAAAAATCGTGAATTCTTTCTTTTTTGGCCCAAATGACACAATTTTCTGAAGATGACCCCTTTTAGAACTAATGACACAGTACATAGAAACTAATCATACCTATTTTTCTCAGGTATTTGTACACACGTGAAATTGATGTTTCCACCACTTCCGCTGAATGTCTCCATCAGCTGTCATTTATCTTCGGAGTGAAGACTCTTATGGAGGATGTTGGCAGGATCTTCACTTCACTCCTTCCCGAAGACAACACCTTCCGGACACAGGTATCAATGTACGAGTATGGCGTCCGCACAGGTGACCTTGTTCTGCAGGAGAATGTCCTTCAGTATCTTTCCTGGAACTGTGAGTTCCTCATAAACTCTCCGTTGTGGAGCACCATCTCCTTTCACATGATGGACGCTCTGCTGCAGCGCTCAGACCTGGTTGTGAAGGATGAAGCTTTACTTCTTGAAGCTCTGGAGAGATGGATCCAAGATAAAAGTGATGAGATTAGTTCAGAACAACAGGCCAGCCTCCTGAATCACATCCGCTTCCTCCTGATCCCAGTGGATAAACTGTATGAAATGCAGTTTTCCTCAAGTGTTCTCCATCAGAATCATGAGAAACTGTACCTAACTGGTCTGCTCAGAGGTTTTCAGTTCAATGCTCTGCCTTTCTCTAAGATCAGGAATAAAATGGATAACATGAGTAATGATTATCTGCCCAGAATCTACACTGCTGATGAGTGGAGTGTATTTATCAATGACACAACCAACAATTACCCGTACTATCACTACAACTACAACTATGGCCAAAATAACAGAATCCAATCCTTCTCCACTCCTGCACATCCTAGTGCTCTTTACAAAGATCAGATGGTCCAGTGGCAAGCCCAGGTTTTTCTGAGTGTTCAGGAATGCTATAACTATGGTGTTTCGTGTACATCTTTTCCTGCTGCAAGGCTCCTCGCAAATGGAAATCAGTACAGTTACACTAACACCATTCGCTTCAACAACAGGTTGATTCTCACCTGTAAAAATCAAAACAATGTCTTTCATGTTCAAGAATTCAAAGATGACATGGCAGTGATTCAAAACAACAGCAGTATGGGCCTGCCTAACCCCTGTCCTGATGACTACAGTTTTAGATTTGTAGTGCGTCCAGAATATATCTGACCTCGCGCTGTTGACATCAGGTCATTTTCTGCCACTGTTTTAGTTTGGCTCTGTTTACTAAAATCAATCAAATTAATCTTCAAATGAATCATCAACCTTCATTTATAATGTTTAATGTCAGTTTATGATCATTTTAAAAATAAGTGAAGGGTTTTCATTTAACCATTTTGATTATTTCATGTAATGATTATTGTTAGACATTAATAATGTTTGATTGTTTAAAGCATAATAAAAATCATAAAAAAACATGTTCATAATTTCTTTTGCAGTTTTTTTTTAATATATCATGGTATACTGTTGGTTAGCTGGCATCATATGCTGGTAAAGTGGTAAATCTGATTCAGCTCATGCATATTCAGCTTATAATTACCTGGCTAATAGACTGTTGGTCCTCCACGTCCTGCCAAAACAGCACCAACCCACTGAGGCATGGAGTTTACAGACCCCTGAAAGTGTCCTGTGGTCTCTGGCACCAAGATGTTAGCAGCTAATGCTTCGAGTCCTCTAGGATGCGAGGAAGAGCAGCC